TATTAACAAACATGTAAAATACACAAACACAAAACCTAGACGTACACCACATTTACACAATACAAAATGAACAGGAGCTTCCTGTTCTTTCTAATAGCAATTATCAGTCGATACCGCTCACCTTATATTATTTCCCCTTCTATTGTATTTCATTGGATAAATATTCCAATGAATATTCTATACCTTATAAATACTTGCATCCATTTCACCCCTTAAAACTTTTGAACATCCCTTTCAAAGCAGGCTTAATCCTATCTAACATTTGGAATATGGGCCTCTTGAATATATTCACATTTGAATAAGTGTTTGATCTTTTTTGTTTTTTAAATCACTGATGCTGCTTTTCATATAATATACAAATCGCTGTAATAAAATTGGCTCATTGACGACAGTTGTTTTCCCCTTCTGCTGAGCAACACACCTGCTACTGCTGTACTACCATATTTACATGTGGCACCTGGGCATTCTTGCTTGCTAAGATTAAAAATATGTTTATTGCAGCACTTTCGTAAGTGGTTTTGTAAAAGAACATCATTCAACCATCTAAATCTCAAGCAGCATACTAGAACAAGATATTGGGAACAGATGTTAGGACTTTTGTAGACCAACTTGTTCCAAAGGAGATTTGCTTTGCAAGTGAGAGAAGCAAATTGCATTTGATTTCTATCACAATACCTTAACATAGGTAAAGGTTTTCCCTGTCCAGTCACTTCTGACTCCAGGGCACGGTGCTCATCTCCGTTTCTTAGCCAGGGAGCCAACATTGTCCGAAGACCTTTTCTGTGATCATGTGACCAAGGCATACAGAATGCTGTTACTTCTCATTTAAATGGTACCTCTTTATTTATTCACATATACATACTTTCAAACTTCTAGGTGAGCAGGAGCTGGGGAAATAACAGGAGCTCTCCCTGTCGCACGGCACTTGGGTCTTGAATCCAGGCAGCCAACTTTCCAGTTAACAAGCTCAGGATCTTTAACTGCTGGGCCACTGTGCCCACACCGTAACGTAACATGTGAAACTACTCATCTTTTTTTTAAAAAGTGCAGGTTTAGTAAACTAGGTTGTGACTGTTTTTTGATCAATTAGCTATGTGCCATCAAAGTCAACATCATCTCTAAGCAACCAACAGATAGTTTCTCCAGGATGACCATGGCTATCTTCACCAATAATAAAAGCACAAAAAGAACATGTAAGGGCAGAGGAAATGAGAAGGGAAGATCATTTTAGGTGCTGACCTATGGAGCTCTATTAGGTCACTAAGTTTATGCTCAAAAATTTCCTAGATGGAAGTAATTGAAGCAATATACCGGTAATTATGTCTTCACACTTCCACACAAAGGCAGTAGTTGACGGGTTTGGCATTCAACGCTATATACCTGCAGACACCTACTTTCCTAAAAGAAATATTTCTTGCTTTTATCTGTACAATGCAGAACAGATGTGACTATATGAAACGAGCAATATGGGACACTATTAGCTTGCGCTGTTCAAGGAAAGAAACTGGAGAGAATTTCCAGCTTTCCCTGAGCATGGGAAGTATACTTCAACTTTCCCCACTGATGGAAAATGGGACCTTTGCCAATTTACATCCCATAAAATGATGTCCCCATTGAAACTGTGACCCGACTTCCTTTTTTCCTTCCCTCCACACCTCCACACACTAAACTCCAATGCAAATTTTTAATCAAGGATCTTTTCCGCAATAAAAAAGCTGATGCCATCAGAACAATGTGTTCTTCTGGCCATCAAATCATGAACAGTTTTGAAGTATAATCAGGAATATTTTACAAACAGTAACCCTTGTTTATGACCCTGCACATTTGCCAAAACCCTGGGAAGCTGAAGCCTGGTTTACCCAACTAAGGCACTGTTAAACCAACACTGAACCGTAAACCAAGTAACGCCAGGTTGAGTCGGCTACTGGGTGAATGCGTCGTGGAAAGACCATCATTTCATATTTAGTCCGCCGTTAACAATGCACGAGAAGCCCTGGGTTGCTGCTTATTCTCCTTCCCTGATGGCACCGAGACCGGGAAGGGAGGAGGAGCAAAGAAAAGGGGGGAGACTATACTTAACCACCACCACCACCCCGAGAGCAGAAGTTACCTACGTTGCGTAATAAAGACGGTCGCCCGCAACATTTCTCTGCCTGGGGCGGAAACTCCAAAAGCGCTCCAGCGGGGAGCTTCCCCTTCGGCTCCCGAGACAGACGGGCGTTCCACACGCCGGGCTTGCTGCGTCCCTCTCAGCCCCGCTTGCCTGGACGCCTGCGCCCACTTCCTATTACTGGTTAGCCCTCCCTTCGTTCACACGCCCCCGCCATCGTCAAGCTCCCTAGGCCAAAGAGGCCGCCTTCCCCGAAAGACCTATCCGCGGCTGTAGCCGGGCCCAGAGCCCTCCTCCTTCCCGCCCACCAAAACAAACCTCTGCTTCTCTGAGGGCGGAGCAGGACACGGAGGGACACGGAGGCAGGAAGCGGCCATGGCAGACTGGGGCCGAGGTGAGTGCAAAAAAAGGAGGAGGAGGAAAGAGCGAGTGGCTGCCGCGGCTCTCCTTTTCTTCATTGCCTTGACAGGTTAATTAGTTTTGGAAGAGAAGAGAGGTGCAAAATAAGGAAGGGGTGTTCTCGAGCCATCCTCTTCTAAGAGGTCTCTCCATTCCTTTCGCATTACCCCAGCCTTTTGGGGATGGAGACGGGCATCATCGGCTGTGGAACAGCTGGCAGGCAACTGGCAGGAGGGAATGTCCTCCGGGAAGAACAGTTGCCTTCTCTGTTCTCTTCTCTCCGTGGCCACCACGCCAGCTTTCCTGCTTTCACTTAAAGATCTTGGTTGGGGCCGAAGAAAGGCAATAGGAAAATACAGAATAACAGAGTTGGAAGGGATCTTGGAGGTCTTCTAGTCCCAAATCCCTGCCCAAACAGGAGACCACATGAAATGATGCTAGGATACACCGATATGTGGAACTGGGTAGGCTTTGTTGGCATAGCCATTTTTAATTTTTATCTTTTTGCAAAAGTATTTATTTTGGAACTCTGCCAGCTCAATAACATTTTGAATCTGGAATTTGTAGGAAATGTTCCCTGTTTGTGTGAAATTCTCTAGAGATCTGTAGGTAACCCACTCTTTGTCCTTTTCTACGAACTCCTACATGCTGTTCTTAAGCTGTTCTTAAGTTATGACTTTTTTTCTTTTGCAGGTCCAAACACAAATGCGGTGGATGATATGTTAGATGTGGAAAATAAGCGCAGGACAGAAAATCTGGCCACTAAAGTCACCCGTCTAAAATCGGTTGGTAGCTCACTCGATCTGTTAGTTTTTCACTGCTAGCTTATTTTAATCGGTTTTCTATGCTGGATTTTTCCCCCCTATATTGCTATTGAGGAAAAGAAAATTGTAAGTTTGATCAATCTTTTCCAAAATCAGTATTATTACTAAAATATATCAAAGATGAGAATGTTAAAAACAATATTTTTTTCTTTTTTTAAATCTAGCTTGCATTGGACATTGACAAAGATGCTGAGGATGAAAACAGGTACCTGGATAATATGGTAAAGAACTATTCGCAGTTCATGTGGAATTATTAGTGAAACCTTCCTTATACTTGTGCCCTCATTCTGTGAAGGATGAGTTATGTAATTCAATACATTTGAGTTATATAAAAAAAACAATTTTGTGAGAAGATTGTACCAATCACATTTAAAGAAGTTATTGCTACTAAACTTTCTTCCTTCCTGGCAACTTTCATCATTTTATTTTTATTCCAAAGCAAAAACAACANCACAGTACTCCACAAGGGGGCTCCCTATGGTAAGGGGGGAAATCCAACATTAGAAATTACATTGGGTCTGAACATTTTTCCCCTATAAATAAATATGTGGACAACACTGGGTTATCAATTAGTCAACAATAAAATCCTATACAAATTACAACAAGAGTAAGATCAAAATACAATAGTTATAGAATAAAATACAATAATTTAATACATAAAATATGTAAAATGGAATAAAATGACATAAAATTATTTTTCTGTGTCACCCCTGCAATCTACTCCAAACAGGCTCACATAAACCAATCTTACTTGGATCATTTTAGTCAGGAACTGTCCTGTATTAAATGTCGTTTTCAAATTCTGGCCACAGATGAGGTACGTTGTTTTAATATGGGACTCCCACTGGGCCATACGTTTAATATATGGATCAAGGTACTTCTCTCACCCCTTATACAGACAGCAATCTGTATCTGTAATAAACAATTGATTTAACTAAAATTTAATTCTTACAATTCAGATATAATATATTGCATAAATGCGTTGGCAAAATGAATAATATCCCGATAACAAATATTAATACAGGACAATGCAACATCACCATATATTTTTTTTTCATTTGATATGCATCTTTCAGAAGCTGAGTTTTTAATGGTTTCCCAATTGAGTTTCACTTCTATTTTTATTGAAGAGGGCCAAAGAACATAAGTCCACAGTGGGTAAGTTTCTTTTCAGTTAGCTGGCTCTGCTAGTTTTATCTAACTTGGCTTTTGTCAATTATTTCCTCTGATAAACTACTCCACTTGTTTCCTCCTGTACACAATTGTAGAAGCAAAGCAGTGGAGGCAGGTGTCAACAATCTGAGCCATCTGCTGCGCTAATAGCCCCAAGGCCAAAAATAAGAGGAAGAAGAAAACAGGAATTAGGAACCTGGCCCATTTTCTACTGCTGTTTTGTACCAAAATGAGCCTTTTGCTCCAATTACTGAGGAAGCAAAAGGTGTCATTTGCAAAGGTGCTTTATAAGTAGAAATGCACTTTGTCTTCAGCAATTAGGAGGCCAACTTGAAACACATCTGCAGACATTTATCTTTCCAATGATGCATTTTTCTCTCATGCCCACCTTGCTTTAAGTTGACAACTATGGTTCATGTATAATGAGGATTCTAAAGTCTCGTTTGGAAGGTTTCTCAGCGGTGAAAGCTGGGAAGGCAGACCTGTTGTTTTAATTTTACTCCATGTTTTTGCAATGACAGATGCCTTCATAATGTAGTTGCCAAGCAGCATCTAACAAATATCAGTGTCCAAAATGCTGCCGTTTATCCCGAATATCCCATTGTTGGTGATGCAGACACCGAACCAATAGTGGAGCATGGAATTTTATGGTGAAAGAGGGGTCATCTGATCCCTGGTGCAGATCCTATGTTCAGATGTATCATTCGTTCGGGTGCTTTAAAGAATGTTTATATAGAAGTGGCATTTGCTTACATGTTTTTGAATATTTGTTCTCATAAACGATGCCGTAATAAATGAATTTCACTTAAATATACT